GCGTGCACGTGTGTTTGCTTGTGTGCATGTTTGCCTGTGTGCACGGGTGCACGTGTGTTTGCTTGTGTGCATGTTTGCCTGTGTGTGTGCACATGTGCGTGTAGATGGGTCCTTTCCATGCCCTGTCATTGCTGCCTCTCTCCTCCGGAGAGCTTTCTCTGCACAGTGGCCCTGCCTTTGCAGCTTCTGCCAGCCCCGTGGCACCTAGTGGCCTTTTTCCCAGCCCCAGTGGGCGCGGTGGGGTGGGCCGTCCCCCGAGGGCGCTCGAGCTGCTGCATCTCCTGATTTCCCGCTTGCAGTCCTCAGGGCACCTGTATCCTGAGCCCCATTTCCAGGAGGAGTCCCCAAGGCACCCGCCCCACCTGGGCCGCCCTTGGGCCCTGCGTCCATAGCCAGAGCTGGGAGGGCTTTGTCCACCAGGCCTGGGACCCTGGGATCCTTCTTCAGAGTCCCCCGGCCTGGGGGCAGTGTGGAGGGTGGCGCGGGTGGCGGGATGAATTACTGGGGAGAGTCTGCCCCCTGGTGGCCGCCCAGGAGAATGCATGGAACATGGCTGAGCAGCGTCGGCTGCCGAGGGAGGGCAGGGCAGGGGTCAGGGCCGCAGGAGCGTCTCAGTGGGATGGGGTCTGGCCAGTGGAGGGTCCGTGGCCTCTCCTAGCAAACGCAGTGGTGCTCCTTATATGATGGTGCCAGGCGGGGCTGTTCTCCTTGGTTGGCCTCTGTGTCCCTTCAGGCTCCCACGAGGGTAGCAGGCTGAGGCCCCCTGGGGTCGGCAGCTCATCCATGTGCTGGGACGCCTGCGCTGCCCGACAGCTTGTAGGAGCCGGGCCTGACCCTGGCCAGTGAGACCGTCTCCCTCAAGGACGAGATGCTCTTTACAATCCTTCCAGCCCAGGGGTCTCACAGTTAGGGGCCCTGGTGAGGAAGAGGGGTTACGACTCCCACCAGCACCTCAGGTGGTGGATGGGACGCTCTGAGGCTGGCCTGGCTCACACCGTGTTGGCAGGAAGCCTGACCCCCGCTCTGTTCCCACCCCCACCTCAGTCCTGTTTTTTTGTTTTTGTTTTTGTTTTTGCTTTTGTTTGAGATGGAGTCTCGCTCTGTCGCCCAGGCTGGAGTGCAGTGGCTCAATCTCGGCTCACTGTAAGCTCCGCCTCCCGGGTCCACACCATTCTCCTGCCTCAGCCTCCCGAGTAGCTGGGACTACAGGCGCCCGCAGTCCTGTTTTTAAAAAATACCCACTTTACTGAGATGTGACTCACATGCTATACAGCTCACCCTCTGAAATGTGCAGTAAATGACTTTTGGTACATTCGCAGAGTTGTGTGGGGACATCTGTGGTTGTCACAACTGGGAGGTGCTCCTGGGATGGAGTGGGTGGAGGCCAGGGATGCTGCTCAGCACCCCAAAGAACAGTCCAGCCCCAGTGTCCACAGCACCTGGGGGAGACCCTGAAGTTAGGGGGCTGGGGCTGCCCAATCCTCTTTCCCTTCTTGAGGACCCAGAGGTCTCCACCACAGAGTGAGCGCTTCTGGGTGTCCAGCGTGGGACACTGAGGGGCCCCAGCCAGCCCACTAGGCGCCCGTGGGTGAGGGACCTCCTGCTGCATCTCGGAGTTGCCCGGCCCTGCCCCCTGCCCTGTGCACCCCTGCTGGGCCCAACAACTAAACTCTTTCTTCCCAGGGTTTCAGAGCACACCCTGCCCCGGTGGGTGTGCTCCTCACGGAGTTAACGCTTCCTGCTTCCTCTTCCCAGGCCCTGTCGATGACGGCACAGCCGGGCCCTGGCCATGGGAAGAAGTTGGGCCATCGAGGTGTGGACGCATCTGGCGAAACCACCTACAAGAAGGTTCCTCGGCTCCCCTTAGCTGGCTGGGGGGAACGGGAGGGAGCGGAGGGGCGGGAGTTCCCACTGGTACCATCGATGGGGCCCGTCACCCCCGACACAAACCAGGGTCTGCACAGGGACAGGTGTGGGCTGTGTAGGGCAGAGACTCGAGTCCTCAGTCCTGGACGAGGCCCCGCTGTTTGCTGTCCTTGCCGGGCGGCTGGGCAGTGTGCTCCGTGGCTCAGCCTGGCTGCAATGCTGGGCAGTGTGCTCCGTGGCTCAGCCTGGCTGCAGTGTCTGCCCGGCTCTGAGTCCTCGAAACCTTGGGCAGAGCCTGGGCTCTCGGCCCTGGTGAGGGAGAGGGGTTACGGGCCCCGTCACCACCTCGGGCGGTGGACGGGACACTCTGATGTGTCTGGCTCACACCATGTTGGTAGGAAGCCTGACCCCCGCTCTGTTCCCACCTCCACCTAGGGCTTGTTTTTTCAAAAATAACTGTTTGACTGAGATGTGATTCATATACTGTACAATTCAGCCTTTAAAGTGTGCAGTAAGTGACTTTTAGTGCATTTGCAGAGTTGTGCAGCCATCACCTCTAATTCCAGAACATTCCATCAGCTCAAATAGCAACCCTGTCCCCATTAGCAGTCGCCCCCCATCCCCCACTCCCAGCCCCGGCACCCCGCATCCCTTTCCTGCCGCTGTGGATTGGCCTGTCCTGGGCGTTTCATGGAAATAGAATCACACACTGTGTGGCTTTCTGTGTCTGGCGTCTCTCACTGAGCGTGGCGTCCTCAGGGTTCGTTCGCGCTGGGGCCCGCGGCAGAGCCTCGCTCCTGTTCACGGCTGAGTCGTGTTCTGGCACGTGGGGCGCCCGTGCTGCGCTTGTCCTTTGCTGCGTCGTGGACGCTGGCGTGGTTCACACTCCTGGCCGTTGTGAATTGTGCTGCTGAGGACACGTGTGTGTGAGTCTGTGTGTGGATATGTGTGTTCGTTTGTCTTGGGCAGACACCCAGGAGCAGAATTGCCAAGTCACATGTAACTCAGTGTCACTTTTGAGGAACTTGCACACTGTTCTCCGCAGCCGCTGTACCATTTTCCACGCCCAGCAGCGGTGACTGAGGCCCGGTGTCCCCGCATCCTCACCAGCCCTCGTGATTGTTGTCTCTGATTCTGGCGTCCTCGTGGGTGGGTGTGAGGTGGTGTCTCTTCAAGGTGTTTTTTTGTTTGTTTGTTTTTGTAGAGACAGGGGTTTTGCCACGTTGCCCAGGCTGGTCTCGAACTCCTAGGCTCAGGCGATCTTCCCACCCTGGCCTCCCGAGTAGCCGGGATTCCAGGCGTGAGCCACCACGCACGGCCTCCCTGTGGTTTGATTTGCTTTCCCTTGGTACCCAGTGACATGGAGCGTCTTTGCGGGCTTCAGGGCCATTTGTACGTTATCTCCGGGCACATGTCTGTTCTGTCCGTGACATCTCGGGGAGGTGAACGTGCAGGCCAGACCCCCACCACCCAGAGTGTAGTTTAGGAGGGAGGCAGCGATCGAACCTGGGCAGTGGCAGAAACCAACTCCCGACCTCCCTCCCTGCCCCCTCGCACCTGCGACAGGAGAACTGGAGGCCAGAGTTAGAGACCAGAGGTATGGTCCGGCTTCCCAGGGCTGACGTGAACATGGCCCCGAGAGCACACAGTGAGAATAATGCTGACAATGCTGGTGGCAAATACAACAGCAGCTGGCAGGGCGCAGTGGCTCACGCCTGGAATTCCAGCACTTTGGGAGGCTGAGGCGGGAGGATCCTGAGGTCAGGAGTTGGAGACCAGCCTGGGCAGCATGGCGCAACCTTGTCTCTACTAAAAATACAAAAAAATTATTAGTCAGGTGTGGTGGCACGTGCCTGTAATCCCAGCTACTCGGGAGGCTGAGGCAGAGAATAACTTGAACCTGAGAGGTGTAGGCTGCAGTGAGCCGAGATCGCCCCACTGCACTCCAGCCTGGGCAACAGAGCAAGACTCTGTCTCAAAAAAAATAAATAAATAACGGCCAGGCGCGGTGGCTCACGCCTGTAATCCCAGCACTTTGGGAGGCCGAAGCGGGCGGAGCACGAGGTCAGGAGATCAAGACCATCCTGGCTAACATGGTGAAACCCCGTCTGTACTAAAAATACAAAAAATTAGCCAGGCGTGGTGGCGGGCGCCTGTGGTCCCAGCTACTTGGGAGGCTGAGGCAGGAGAATGGTGTGAACCCGGGAGGTGGAGCTTACAGTGAGCTGAGATCGCGCCACTGCACTCCAGCCTGGGTGACAGAGCAAGAGCCTGTCTCAAAAAATAAACAAAAATAATAATAACAGCAGCTGACACCATGTTCCCAAGAGGGCCAGAACCATTGTACCCGTCCCTGTCTACAGGCAGGGAAACTGAGGCACAGAGAGGCCATATGGGTTGCCCAGTGTGACCATGTGCATTACTTAGAAAGCAGCCAGCAGGAACCCGCATCTGAAGACGTGAAAGTGATCTGGGCATCTCGCTGTAAACGGTACCCCCTAAAAACAAACCCTGACAGTGAACCAACCCTTGCTAAGTTGGAGCTGTTTCAAAATGTGAGAACCTTCTAGAACCTAGCTAGCCAACAGGACTGGAGGGCTGAGTGACGCGGTGCAGCAGTCACAGCCAAGCCCTGTCCTGGCTGTGTGGCCCAAGGGAGGGTGGCTTCACCCCCCGGCCTGATGTCCATGGCTCAACAGCCGCAGGACAGGCGACCCCGGGGGCCACCGGGAGGGGGTTGGCAGGTGCGGGGTCCCGAGCTGCAGCTGGACACGGTCTCCACCCCCTGGTGCACACAGCGGGTGCAGGGCGGCGCGGGGAGCAGCCGGGGACCCTGACGCTCTGGTCTCCCCGCAGACCACCTCCTCTACCCTGAAGGGCGCCATCCAGCTGGGCATCGGCTACACTGTAGGCCACCTGAGCTCCAAGCCCGAGCGCGATGTGCTCATGCAGGACTTCTACGTGGTGGAGAGCATCTTCTTCCCCAGGTGGGCTGGGCCCCGGAGCCTCAGGCCTCACCCGGCACACGCATGGCTGTGATACGGAGTGGCCCGTCCTGAGCGCCCTTCTCTGCTGAAAGCAGCACCTGGCCCCTCCTGGCGCCTCCTTGGCCTTGAGCTCTGGCCCTCTGTCCGCCAGGACATTGGTTTGCTGCTAAATCAGAGACCCAGTGTAAAAGCAGTTTAAGAACAGGAAAAAGAGGCCAGGCGCGGTGGCTCAAGCCTGTAATCCCAGCACTTTGGGAGGCTGAGACGGGCGGATCACGAGGTCAGGAGATCAAGACCCTCTGGCTAACACGGTGAAACCCCGTCTCTATTAAAAAATACAAAAAAAAACCTAGCCAGGCGAGGTGGCGGGCGCCTGTAGTCCCAGCTACTCGGGAGGCTGAGGCAGGAGAATGGCGTAAACCTGGGAGGTGGAGCTTGCAGTG